ATTTCAGTACGTTCTACAAGACCAGGATATATACCGCCAAAAAAAAGTTCCATAAAAATCGGCTTATTTTTTTTTCAACAGTTAATTACAAGAAAACTAATTAGTTCATTCCCAAATGATATCTTTCGAACAGTTTTTCATTTTTGAAAATTGATTCAGTAGTATGAGCTTAAATGAGGACGAAAAGTTTAACACTTTTTCCCAAATTACAAAGAAATGGCTCGGCAGATCGCTGCACAAAACTATAACTGCAACCATATTTGAATTTATCTGAAAATAATATATTAATATAATAATTTCTAATGTAGAAAATTATGTTTCGTGGATTTTTATGGACAAATATCCGCTCTTTCATTATGTGAAATGCAGAGAAATATTGTAGGGAAAGGGCGTCCTTTGATGTTTAGAGTTGACAGCTAATCGCGACACACAGTACGACGTTTTATTTCTCAGCCTGAGGGCTAAATCGTAGCTCAGCCTCAGAACTCAGAACACACCACCCACGCTTTTATTTTATAAAAACAACGAAATATTTACACACCATCCCGTATTTCACAAAAAATCATAAAGGGCTTATGAATGATTTTTTGTATTATTCTATTCTTGATTATTATTACGAGGAATTCAATACGGATCACAATATTTGTGTTTCTTTACGGTAAGCGGATTTATCAAAATAAATGATTCGATGAAAAGAATCATAATAAATCGTTGTATTATTGTTGTAAGATATTTGAGAACTTTTGTATTGTATCACAATCGACTTATTTTGGTCTTATATCGTAATGATGTAAAATGTTAAAGGTTATAATAACATTAATATTTAAAATATTTATTGTATATATTTGAATTGCATGAGGAGTTATGATTTCTATTTGAAATCGATTCATGATATGGTTGAATATGCCCTGAAATGACAGGCCTTCAATAAATTAAAATTCATGATTTATATTTAAGTTTATATTATTAAATTGTTCAATATAGTCGTAATTTATTATATGCAGATCGCTTGAATTTTAAATTATTTGAGGCCTATCATTTTAGGACATATTCAACCATATGAATGAACCGATTTCAAATAGAAATCATTACTCCTCATACAAGTTATTATAAGCTTTAACATTTCACATTATTACGATATGATCACATTCTCGATTCAGCAGTTGAACCGATAACAACTCTTGGTAAACAATAAATTGGTCTCGGATTTATTCAAGTGAAATAACATTTGTGAACAGTTTAGTGCACAGTGAAATAAAATAAGTGTAACTAGTTTTAACATAAGTACAATTCATTAAATTATGTTCCCCATTAATGGGGAACACACAAATTTATCAATCCCTATTGCGGAAGCGTATCGCACATTAAATGATACTGAATATGATCCAGAAAATGTGAACATGGCAAGTACTTCCAGCAATCAACCCACGCACAATCAACCAAACCAATCAACGTTACAACAAAACATTCCTAACGCTATTAATAATACTCCGATGACAACTACAGAAAACAATCACGAAATAGACCAGGACCAAATTCCATGGCAAACTCCATCACACACTAAAAGACGTAAAACTAAGGAAATAAACCAACCTGTTTTAAAACTTCAAAACAGATTTAATCCGTTGTTAAATCAGCAAAATCAAGATAAAACACAAACATTATCAACTCGACCCCCACCCATTTTTGTTCATAATGTGAATAATTTCAAATTAATGAATAATGCAATCAAAGAAGCTTTTCCTTCAAACAAATTTTACACAAAAATTCTGCCGGACGAAACTGTAAAAATACATTGCTCTGATTCTGCTACTTTTCGACAAATGGTCACATTACTGAAAGATGCAAATGTAGAACACCATACATATCAATTAAAAGAAGATCGCGCATTTAGAGTAGTAGTTCGATACCTATACCATGCAACCACAACAGAAGAAATCACAACCGTATTTAGTGAATACGGTCACAAGGTAAGAAATGTTTTGAATTTGCGTAATCCACACACAAAACAGCCGCATAATATGTTCTTCATAGACTTTGAACCAGCACCTAACAACAAAGACATTTACAAAGTGGACAAATTCCAAAATAGCATAATTAAAATTGAACCGCCAAATGTCCGTAAACGCATCGTCCAATGTGGACGTTGCCAACAATTGAATCATACAAAGCTGTACTGCAACCGGATGTTCACATGTTCGCGTTGCGCCGAGAATCACGAACTCAAAGATTGTCCTCTAGATGAAGATACGGTTCCGACTTGCGCCGTGTGTAATACTGTAGGCCACACGTCTAAATATAAAGGCTGTAAACGATATCTAGAATTGTATTCACTTAAATATGGATCGACGTCAGTTAATAATAACAACAACAATCAAACTACACCAACCGGCCATATCAATAATCAAACGTTGCTACCTGGTTCGGTAAGTGACCCTAGAAGAGTATCTTTAAAACGAAGCTACGCCGACACAATCAAAACAAACAAACCGGTTTTTGCACAACATGCTAGTTTTTCACAGGTACTAAAGCAACAAGAGGCTTCGAACACAAAACAGGTAGATATGATATTATCGCAGTTCTTATCGGAATTCAAATCCATGTTTCAACAAATGATGCAACAAAATAATATGATGATGAACATATTATCTACACTTATAACAAAATTAAATAACTAGTTGGTTTGGTATTTAGCCTTGAGGCAAGTTACATGAACTTCCCGAAATGTGTAAATAATCGACTTATTAAAAAAAATGTGTAAATAATATACTTCATTAATCCTACTTTAAAAAAAAACGATAATAATTTTAGTAAACTTTGACGAATTTTTAAAATTAAACTACTTGTCGTTAGACCGTAATATTACAGTAAGTTCTATAAGACCATGATGTATATCGCCAAAAAAATTTACATGAAAATCGGCTTAAATTTTTTTTTCAACAGTTAATTACAAGAAAACGGCTCGGTAGATTTTCATCTAAAATTAATCAGTACCATTCCCAACTAATATCTTTCGAACAGTTTTTGATATTTTAAAATCGGTTCGGTAGGATGAGCTTAAATGTCGACGAAAATTTAACACTTTTTTTCAACAGTTAATTACAAGAAAACGGCTCGGTAGATTTTCACCTAAAATTAATCAGTACCATTCCCAACTAATATCTTTCGAACAGTTTTTGATATTTTAAAATCGGTTCGGTAGGATGAGCTTAAATGTCGACGAAAATTTAACACTTTTTTTCAACAGTTAATTACAAGAAAACGGCTCGGTAGATTTTCACCTAAAATTAATCAGTACCATTCCCAACTAATATCTTTCGAACAGTTTTTGATATTTTAAAATCGGTTCGGTAGGATGAGCTTAAATGTCGACGAAAATTTAACACTTTTTTTCAACAGTTAATTACAAGAAAACGGCTCGGTAGATTTTCACCTAAAATTAATCAGTATCATTCCCAACTAATATCTTTCGAACAGTTTTTGATATTTTAAAATCGGTTCGGTAGGATGAGCTTAAATGTCGACGAAAATTTAACACTTTTTTTCAACAGTTAATTACAAGAAAACGGCTCGGTAGATTTTCACCTAAAATTAATCAGTATCATTCCCAACTAATATCTTTCGAACAGTTTTTGATATTTTAAAATCGGTTCGGTAGGATGAGCTTAAATGTCGACGAAAATTTAACACTTTTTTTCAACAGTTAATTACAAGAAAACGGCTCGGTAGATTTTCACCTAAAATTAATCAGTACCATTCCTAACTAATATCTTTCGAACAGTTTTTGATATTTTAAAATCGGTTCGGCAGGATGAGCTTAAATGTCGACGAAAATTTAACACTTTTTTTCAACAGTTAATTACAAGAAAACGGCTCGGTAGATTTTCACCTAAAATTAATCAGTATCATTCCCAACTAATATTTTTCGAACAGTTTTTGATTTTTTAAAATCGTTCGGTAGGATGAGCTTAAATGTGGACGTAAAGTTTTTTTCAAATTACAAAGAAACGGCTTGGCAGATCGTTGCACAAAACTGACAAACGATAGTCCTCCACGAAATACATCAAATGGCTTTTAAATTTCTAAAATCGGTTCAGGCGTTTTTGAGAAAACGTCGATCAAAAGTCTAATTTTGACAAATGCCAAAAAGACCATACTGATTTTTGCAAACTTTGACGAATTTTTAAAGCTGAACCAGTTGTCGTAGGGCCGTAATATTTTAGTATGATCTAGAAGACTATGGTATCTATCGTCAAAAAAATAATCATAAAAATCGTCGAATTTTTTTTTTTAAAAACTTTATTACAAGAAAACGGCTCGGCCGATCTCTACCAAAAACTAATCAGCACGATTCCCAACCAATATCTTTCGAACGGTTTTTGAATTTTCAAAATCGATTCAGAATTGCGGGCTAAAACGTAGACGAAAAATTTTTCACTTTTCTGCCATTTATGAAGAAACGGCTTGGCTGATCGTCGCACAAAACTGACAAACAATAGTTCTCGTCGAGATACATCGAATGGCTTTTAAATTTTTGAAATCGACCCAGCCGTTTTCGAGAAAACGTCGATTTACGGCAAAAAATCTGTTCACATACACACACACACACACACACACACACACACACACACACACACACACATACTTTTTCCAAATTTGGTCTCATTCGATTCAGAATGGCTTGAAACGTCGAGAAAACATAAAATTAGCGAATCGGGTTTTTTGATGAAAACATAAACTTCTCCTTCGGGAAGTTAAAAATGGCTAAATTTCTTAGAATAGCAATATGGAACGCCAATGGGCTTCTCGCACGCAAAAATGAAGTAATTATATTTTTGTCAATAAATAAAATAGACATTTTATTAATTAGTGAAACGCACTTTACTAAATATTCCCATTTCACTATTCCTTTTTACACCGTTTACCACACTCCGCACCCAAACGGAAAGCCACAGGGTGGCACAGCCGTTATTATTAAAAATAATATTCCGCATTATGAAATGGACCAATTCAACAGAGATTATATTCAAGCGACTTCTGTAAAAGTTCAAACTTTGCCATATGAGTTGACTATCTCCGCTGTATATTGTCCTCCAAGACATAATATCAAAAGGGAGCAGTTTCAAGAATTCTTTAATACTTTGGGGCCCAAATTTTTAGCAGGAGGCGACTATAATAGTAAACACCCAAATTGGGGATCTCGTATTTCTAACCCAAAAGGAAAAGAACTTAATTTTGTAACTCAACATAACAACTTTGTTACAATATCCACAGGTACTCCTTCCTATTGGCCTAGTGATCCGGCGAGAATACCTGACTTACTCGATTTTTTCATTTCGGGCGGCATTGATAATAAATGCATCGAAGTTCAGTCAAATTACGATCTAAGCTCGGACCACTCTCCAGTCATTGCATCTGTGAGTTCAAATTTAAAACAAACACAAACAAGTTACAAACTTCATAATCACAAAACGGACTGGGTGTTGTACAAGAATATTATTAAGGACCAAATATACTTAAAAATGCCTCTAAAATGCTCAAGCGATATAGACGGCGCATTAAACGACTTTCAACAAATTTTGAAGAATGCAGTCAAAGATTGTACTCCGCAAAATTTCGTCACCAATAAAGGACCCTACATAACGCTAGAGATTAGGAAACTAATAGCTGAGAAACGTAGGATTAGGAAAAGATGGCAAACCACTCACTCGCCACAGGATAAGACTCTACTAAATAGAATGAATAACTTATTGAGAACTAAAATTAGTGAAATGAACAATAATAACTTCACTAACTATGTTTCTAGATTGAATAGATTTGATAACAGCTTATGGAAGCCACTATCTAATAGAAGAAGACCTGCAACTAAACACCCTCCAATAAGATTAAATGCCTCCGACTCTTGGGCAAGAAGTGACTCTGAAAAAGCAAACATGTTTGCTAATTATCTATCATCTGTCTTTTCGGTTAATGATATCAAGTCAAATTTTAACATTCCTAATTCTGAAAACACTACCTCAGACCTTAACAAAACTAGATTCTTCACCGTGAAAAGTGTTTATAATGAAATTAAACGTCTTAAAAATAAAAAAGCTGTGGGTATAGATTCAATTTCAAGCATAATGCTTAAAGAACTCCCCAGAGAAGGATTTATTTTACTTACCTACATCTTTAACGCAATTCTTAGGCTCAATTACTGGCCGACATTATTCAAAACCTCTACGGTAAAAATGATCCCAAAGGTAGGAAAAGATCCGAACAAAGTCAATTCTTATCGACCAATAAGTCTGCTTCCAATAACATCTAAAATATTCGAAAGACTCCTGCTAGCAAACATCGCAAGGACCACTAACCTAATTCCTGATCACCAATTCGGCTTTCGCAGCGGACACACAACTACGCAACAGTGTCATCGAATAGTAGACACCATTAATAAAGCTTTTGAAGGCAGTAAATACTGTTCTGCTGCTTTCTTAGACGTAAGCCAAGCTTTTGATAAAGTTTGGCATGAAGGCCTTCTATACAAAATTGGAAATCTATTGCCAGCATACAAGATTTTCTTTGAATCTTACCTTAATCGGAGAAAATTTCAAGTCAAGGTTGGCGATACTTTAGCTGGGCCAAAAGTAATGAAAGCAGGAGTTCCCCAGGGCAGTGTTTTGGGACCATTCCTTTACCTAATTTATACCAATGACTTCCCCACATTGAGAAACACTACCTGCTGCTCGTTCGCGGACGATATTGCTGTTTTGGCAGTTGCACAAGATCCAACCGATGCATCTTTTAAACTGCAATATCACCTTGATAAAATAAATGATTGGTCCAAAAACTGGAAAATAAAAATTAATCAAACAAAATCACAACATATAACATTCACGCTCAGGAAACAAAGCTGCCCAAGAGTAACGCTTGACGGTGACGATATTCCCCAAAACAACGTGATTAAGTACCTAGGCCTGCACTTAGATTCCAAGCTCACCTGGAAATTCCATATAAACAATAAAATACAACAATTAAAACTAAAAATGCAACAGCTAAATTGGCTTTTAGGCAGAAAGTCAAAACTTTCACTGTATAACAAAGTCTTAATCTACAATGCAGTGCTGAAACCGGTGTGGACCTACGGCATAGAGCTGTGGGGATGCGCTAGCAAATCACATATAGCCAAGATGCAGAGAATGCAAAATAAAATTCTCAGAACTCTAGTCGACGCTCCATGGTTCGTAAGTAATCATATTATTCATCAAGACCTAAAAATACCATATATTAAAGACGTCACCAAGGATAAAATCTGCACGCATCTTAACAAAATCGCAACACATAGCAATAAATTACTGAAGCCACTTGTGGAAGAAAACACAAACCGAAGACTGAAAAGAAAATGGCCTGCCGATCTGACCATGTAATCTCTGCCTGACTCTCTTCACTTAGGGTTAACTCAATGGAGGCAATCCTAATGTACTTCTTGTTTCCTAATTTGCTTATAATTATATTTTTGTATTCATTTATAACTTTTATTTTTGTATCTTTATTATTTGTTTATTTTAATTATTTATTTAATTTTTATTTTGTGTATACATCACACATTAGCTTATAGAATCTGTATTCTGATTGCTAATTATAAATAAATAAAAAAAAAAAAAAAAAAAAAAAAAAAAAATACGATATGAGACGAAAATAAAAGTTAATACTTTAAGATCAATTGATCTTGCTTCTTAATTTAGTTTTTTATTTTTCATTAAATCTGCCTATAATTACTTACTTTAATTGTTTAATCTAAAGACATGATTGATTGTTAAATCTGAATTTTGGAATAGCTTTTTGAACCTCTAAAATTATTTAATTAACTCAGTTAACTGCATAATTTTACTACATAATATATAGTACGTGTATTCATATTCTTTTTTCCGTCAAATATCAAGTATTTGCAAATATTTTTACAATTTTTGGCCTCAAACAAATAAAGCAATTGAGTTGCAAATATAAATGTATACGCAGTTTCATATAGTAGCTTTAGATACTAGTAAAGCATCGTGCCATGCAAATTGCTGAAACTTTCCGTATCGAAAATTTAAAATATTTAAAATTGCTTTGAAATATTTTGAAAATTTTGAAAAAATTACATTTTTGAAAATTTTAATTTTTTAAAAAAAAAATTACATGTTTGAAAAATGTCTAAGTGTTTTTTATATTTTGAAAATTTTGAATTTGTTTTCAAAGCAATCTCGCTGCTTTAATGATGTAGAGACAAAATACTAAGCGCGTCGCAGTCTAACAAGTGAAAATTATTACAAAACACATAGAAATATAAACAAAGTTTGCATTTATTAATTGCATTCTATAAAATATCTGATAATTTGATGTGTACATGTTTAGTAATCATTTTTGACCTCCAAATGGCGTTTTTTACCTTTTTTATTTGATCTCCGAAACAGCTAGACCTGGCTTATCAAAAATTTTGTCAGTTCTTCATTTAGTCAATGCAAATAAATGCTTTTTGGATCATGTAAAGTCTCAAAAACTGAATTATTGTTTTTGGCACTTTTTGCCCCGCATCATTGAATGGCTTTTAAATTTTTGAAATCGTACCAGCCGTTTTCGAGAAAACGTTAATTTACGGCAAAGAATATGTTCACATACACACACACACATACTTTTTCCAAATTTGGTCTCATTCGATTCAGAATGGCTCGAAACGTCGAGAAAACATAAAACTAGCGTATCGGATTTTTTTATGAAAACATAATCTTCTTTTTCGGGAATTTAAAATGTTATTTTCTATTTTTGTGCTATTTCTATAAGTTAAAAAAGGTTTAACAATATCAATGGTAAATATTGATAATGTGGATTTAAAATATATTAAATCAAATACATCATAACATTTTAATGTTTAAACTAGATTTTCTATAGCCTCTCCGCCTATAAATAAATATTGTTCAAGTTCAAACGTGCGTTTTGCTCTTCAAGTAAAACAAAGTTTCATAAATACATTTATGAAATAATACATAATTAGAATGCGTATTGTACAATTCACAAATATATTTACCATATATAATAGATACGGTATTTTTAAATTTTAGGGGGCTTAAATAATTTTATTATTTCCCATAAATACAATTTATATCTCAAAGCATTCTCAAAACTTTTACAACTCAAATTGATCCTTTCCAGAGGCGTTTTCCGGAAGGAAATCACGAAACATTTTTTATCAAAACTTTCCGCAATGTTAACTCTGGTCGGAACTAATTCCTCTTTGCCTGTTCATGCTAATGTAACAACGTCACCTTGTCTCGGAGCGTGATGATGAAAATCTGCGCGAAAGCGCTAAACGTCGTCCCAGGTCGACACTCACCGGCACGATTCCGTTGATGTCTTGATTCTGTTCTATCATGGAAAAAATGAAAGAAAAAATAGTCATCTCATGTTTTTGGATACTGAGATAATTCAAATGCTTAGAAGTTTCCAAGGTCTTTCCTCAAAAACGGGTCTCGTGGGTGCGATAGACTCGATTATCCGCGCGCTAATTATGCGAGCCAGGGGATGCAAACGACCTTTAAATCAACAAAACTGCGAGAGGACATGTCAAAAAGTCGCTCATCTGCATGATTAATTAGTTTGCTTGTAATTGGTCACAGATTGCTGTCCGATGACTGTATTAAAAAAAACTGGTTCTGTTTTTTTTAAACAAAATTATCGGACATCAATATGTGAACAATTACAAGCACACTAATTAATCATGGAGAATTGATCGGTTCTTGTTTGCATGCTTGCATTTGAATTTTAAAAGAAACGTATGTCATACAACATGGAAGTATTTATTAATACTATTGCTGGGATAGCATTTTCATAAGTATCTGTTTTGTTTAAGTTTATGGTTGCGCTTACAACGCTTGTGTCAATAATTTCTGTTATATTAGTTTGATAATTAAGTGTATCCATTTGAAATTCAATACTTTGTAATTGATATCGATATTTTTGTACACTTTTTTGTTTTTGTATATAAAATTATGGCATGCCTTATCTAACTTGGTGCTAATTTGCTTTAATTGCTGTTAGAATCAATTACGAAAACTCTTTTCTGCGTTGCTTTTTTTAATAAAGACATTAGGCATCAATTTGTAACCAATTTATTTAGCAAAACTTAGTAGCTCCTGTTTGAAATTTTTGCTTTGAAAATTCGAATAAAACTTTTGTAGCAACATGGAAGTTTGTGTCAATACTTATGCTATTAGTGTCGATCGACAACTAATGTCAAAATTATAAATAGTTGAAAATGACAAATATGCCATTTATTGTTTTTATTCGTTTCATTATTGAATTTTTTATAAGCTGAAACTATGGATGCGTAGAACTGACAAAATTAGATCTTCAGCAACGACTCAAATTTTCTCCTTTTTCTAAATTTTACTCAAAACAATTTTAGGTATATTATTTTTAGTTTAAATATTCTTCTAAATTAAGAAATATTTTTGTGGTAAATTATAATTTTTGTTGTTTAATTAAAGTTTATGCTATTTATATAAGGTTTGCTTAGGTAGTTTTCTTTTATATATTTTAACAGTTTGGCTGCTTTATATATTTAAAAAAAATCACAGTTTTGAGTAGAAATTTTTTTCCGAATTTTTACAAAAAAATGCCTTCTTTCATAATATTTCTAAAAATATTAAGATACGCTTAAATGTATATCATTGAAAATGTAAGTCCTTTTCTGAAATATTTTCTATTATTACATATCTTTTATAATGTTTTGAGATATTATAAAAAGAAAGTGGGTTTATTAATATTCTAGAAAACTTTTAAAATTATGATTTTTTTTTTAAAATCAATATATAACGTAGAGCGGGGCTTAAAGGTCCGAGACTGAGAAAGCCCACCACCAATATTTCGAAAACAATTTAAGTCAAATTTTTTTTTAACAACTATATTAAAAAGTAGAAGGTAACATATAAGTAACCAGCCTTCGCCTTAAATCAAATTACGTCGCTACCGGGGTATAAACCTTATGTTTGCAAATTTATAAAAAAATATATCCTTTTGCTGTTAGTTTTCTCGGTTGTGAGCACTGTTGTTTAGTTTATGAGGTGTATTGTTATGTTTAAGTAAGATTCAACCGTTTTTTTATTATCTCTATTTTCGTGGAGTAAAAAAGACCAACTGAACCTTTCCCCTGGCAAAGAAGCAAACAATAAGTAAATAAAACGGAAAATTAAGTTTTAAAAATCAATTTTATCTTGTGATAAATTAAATCAATTATTACTACGATTCTGCTAATGAATATTTCTGACAAAGTACCAGATCAAGATTATATACAATGTTACCCTTGTAAAATATGTGCCCATGAATTTTATATTTTGCTTTAGTTGAGTCGTGTAGCTACTATTTCAAAATTATTTTGAAATTAAAAATATGACATAGAATATATTTGGCCCGTTCATGAGGTAAAAAGGGACCGATCACAAATTTTAGAAAAATAACTGAAATTTTGCTGAAGATAATTTTATAGTTGTTTGATATGTGTTATATAGTTCATTTGGATTACACAAGTAAAATTAAGTAAAATTGGACCTTGAGTCGTGTAGCTACTATTTCAAAATTATTTTGAAATTAAAAATATGACATAGAACATGACATTGGCCGCTTATGAGGTAAAAAGGGACCGATCACAAATTTTAGAAAAATAACTGAAATTTTGCTGAAGATAGTTTTATAGTTGTTTGATATGTGTTATGTAGTTCATTTGGATTAAACAAGTAAAATTAAGTAAAATTAGACCTTCAGTCATGTAGGTACTATTTCAAAATTATTTTGAAATTTAAAATATGACATAGAATATGTTTTGCCCACTTATGAGGTAAAAAGGGACCGATCACAAATTTTAGAAACATAACTGAAATTGTGCTGAAGATAGTTTTATAGTTATTTGATACGTGTTATGTAGTTCATTTGGATTACACAAGTAAAATTAAGTAAAATTGGATCTTTGGGCCCCGACTTAGCCTATTTATTAAAATTAAATGCTGAGCCTCACAATCAGATTTTTTCCTGTGATTTATCCAGTACCATACTTGGTTACATTTTGTGTTTGAGATATCGAATTCCCGCAGCTTAATAACCCTAATCGCGTGAATTTATGATGTAATAATATTTTCTGAATGAACATTCTCTGCCCGATTGCTGTTTCCATCAATGTCAGTCATATTCATTATTCGCATTTTGCAT